GGCCCCCTGCCCGCGCCCCCTCTCCCTCTCCCTCCTCCGGCTCCTCCTCCTCTGCGGGCTCCGGCCTCTCAGGGACCCAGCCAGCCTCTTCCTTTACGTCTGGGGGGCTGAAATCCCCAGAGGAGGGGGCTCCAGCAGCGGGGGCCGAGTCCCGGCTCTTTCTGGTCAGGTCCTGGGGGGCGAGGTCATCGTCTGTTGGGGAAGGGGTGAGGGAGAGGGTCTCAGCCTGCTAGCTGTACTGCCCTTACCCACGAAGAGGGGGTCCATCTTTGTTCCTCACCCCAGCCCCAAGCTAGAGGCCTTAGCCAGCGTGTGTACACGTTAGAGGGCAGGGGTGGCCTCAAGTCTAAGGAAAGGGGTTGGCAGGCCTTCAGCCCTTGATCAGGAGTCCCTGCCTCCCAGTTTTTGCCCTAGACCCGGGGTTGCTGCCCTGATGTGAAGGAGTCTGAGCCCTGGGACAGCCTCGCACCTGCTGGGGGCCGGGTGAGCTCAGACAGCGCCTCAGCCTCGCCACCCCAGGCCTGCAGCAGAGCACTGCGCTGGGGGCCATTGAGCCCCAGGGAGCTGGGGTGCACCTCCAGCACGTGGGCACGGATGTCGTCCAGGTGCAGACTGGGCAGTGCGTGGCCACAAGCCATGCACACCAGCCGGTTCCCCCGCGGGTCATAGTCCATGAGACACTCAGCCCGGAACCAGGTCTGCAGGGACTCCTTCAGCCTCCTCTCCAGGCGCCGGGCCCCCAGCCCCCTGCTGCCCCCAGCCCTCCGGGAGGCTGAGAGTCTCCGGCGCCGGGATGCCACTGGGCCCCCTCGCCGCTGACGCCGGCAGCCCCCACCAGCTGAGGCTTTGCCTGAAAGGTTGGAGGGAAGCACCTGAGAAGCTGGCCCTGCGGGGAGCCCCCACGGCCTCTCACTCATTGGCTCCAACTCAGGTCCCACACCTAACCTTTGTCCTCTTCCTCTCCCTTCGTATCTTACCTCACAACCCTAATCCTCTTGCACACCTGCTCTAAGCTCCACCCAACCTCCCCAATCCAGATTCTGGCCATTCCCAGGGCTTCACTGGCAGCTCCCTCCTGTTCCCAGGTCTGTTCCAGATCCCAGCTCTTCCCATCTGATCCCCAACCTCTACTCTCTTCCATCCCTGTAAAACCTGAGAATGTCAAAGATGTCAGCGATACTGGAGGTTCCCCCATCTTCTCCCCCACCACTATAGGGCAATAAAGAGACCCCACCCAGAAAAGGACCATTAACTTGCTAGAGAAAATCAGATATCGGGCAGAGGAGCTGCCTACTTTGGCCTCATCACATCCAGACCCTTGCTTCTCCACACCCTGCATTACCTGAGCCCTTGGGTGGACAAGCTTGGAGGCTGGCCCCTTCCTCTTCCTCTTCTTCCTCCTCCTCCTCCTCCTCCTCCTCCTCAGGCCCCTGGACCCCCAGGCCCTCGGCCTCGCCGCAGGCCCCCAGCCCCAGGTGGGCATCCCAGCTGTTGCTGATGACTTCTTTCTCCCGGGGACTCCAGTGCAGGGAGTAGGGGTGCTTCTGGCGGATGTGCCGCTTGATGGTGCTGAGCTTGAGGGTAGCCAGGGAGCTGCCACACACCATGCACACCATGCCATGCCGGGCAGGGTTGAAGTCCATCAAGTACTCCAGCCGCCAGTGGTCGTGGTAGTATCGACGGTGGTCACGACCAGGGATGCGGCTCTTTCCAGGCCTGGAGGCCCGGGCCTCACAATGGTCTGAGTATTTCCTGCCTGAAGATGCTGGTCCCCTGGCCCTGGAGGAGGGCAGGGGGGTATTCCCCCAGGACCCCAAGGCACCCCCTTCCAGCTGAAGATCTTGTCCTGAAGAAGGGGAAAGGAAGACAGCTTTTCAATCTCTGATTTCTGGGCAAAAAAACCCAGGGCTTTGATTTGGAAGGTTTAGAAAGGGAGGAGGGGGAAGAGGTATTCAGGGCAGGGACAGACGGCAACAGTAATAAAAGGGATGTGGGAGAAACAGAGTAAAAACACTTTTACAAATAGGATCAAGAACAAAAGGATGTAGGGCACTGTGCAGACTAGCTGCGACTTTTATAAAATAAGATGAGGGCCAAGGAGGCAGCGAGCTCTGTAAGGTGCCCTTTCTGGACAAGCTATAAGGATAAAGCGAGGAGAGCAGGGGGCTGGGGCGGTTGCAGCCAGCTCGGAGCAGGCAGTGGGGCGAGAGGAACAAAGGGGGCAACTGTCTGCATCCTACCAGGAGGGCCCCACCCAAAGGTCATCTCCATTTTCCCAGTAATGCCTCCAACACAGCCTCCTGAGCATCCCATTTCAGGGAAGGATTATGCAGTCAGTTCACCAAACACAGGGATCCCTAAGACAAAGCTGTCAATACCTCCAAGGAAAGGAGTTACCGAGCTTTGGATTCCCCCAGAGTCTGGGAGAGCCAGTGACTGTGAGAAGGGATGGCAGAAGGGCCACCACAGTGGCCACTGAAGATGCTGCGGCAGGCAGCCGCCACCACCCACTGGAGCCCATTAAGTCTTTCTGGGGATTTTTTTGTTCTGGCAAGGGTCCAGCCACTGCCCAGCAGTCGGAAGGGCGTGTACTGGAGGGGCCCTGGAAACTCGGGGACACTGCTTTTGTCAAAGCGACACCCAAAGCAGTCCCGCACCCTTCCTTCAGTTCTGAACCTCTTTTATTTTGAAAATGCTCTTCTGGCCAGAGCGAATGAGTAAGCTTCTTTCTAATCATTCTGCTAGTGGAGAACCCCAGGGTCAGGCGAACAAAAGACAGGATCAGAGAGGGCTCCTGTCACAGTGTTAAGGACTTTTTGTTTCAGTTTTAATTTTTTAAAGCAAATCCATGGGAAAAAAAACACGGTTTGAGTCCCAGCTTCACTGGAAACTTGCACTACGACCTTTCACAGGTCACTCTGCTCTCTGGGCCTCAGTGGCTTTGTGTGAGAGAGCACTGGACAGCTAGCTAGCTGGTCTCCAAGCATCTCTCCAGCGCTGGAGCCAGGCTAGTCTAAGGCACACTAGCCCTTTAAGAGCCTAAAAAAAGAGGAGGAGCTGAGATTCTTTAAAAACAAAAGGGGATGGGGAGTTTCTGGGAGGGGAGCTCAGAGATTGGGGTAGTCTCCCAAGCCTAGACCCAACCTTCGAGGGGTCTTAAGGCGCTGACCCTGCCGCAGGGGAATGAAGAAATAGCCTCCTTTAAGAGCCCACAAGGGCTGGCTAGTCCCTATAAAGATGACAAATTGGGGCCAAAATAAATTCTGAAAAGGAAAGAGACACTGCGCGGGGAGGAAGGGGTGCCTGCCTTTGTGGGCGAAGCCAACCCTCATTTAAAACCTGCCCGCGGTGGGGGAAGTGATGGAGGCCCGGTGGGGGGGCCGGGGGCGGGAGCCACTCTCTCCGAGGGAGAACGCGGGGGAAGAGTTCCCGGCTCCACCAAAGCCAAAGGACGAAAAGGGCCGCGCGACACAAAGCCGTGGGGTCCCGAGCTGGGCCGCGGGGGGGAAAAGCCCCGAGGGCACCCGGGGTGTGGGCGGCCTTTAAGAGACAGCTGGATAAGAAAGACCACCTGGGCGTCTGAAAGAGAGAGGGGCGGGGGTGGGGACAGCGGCGCTGGCCCTGAGGTCCCCTCCGGCCCGGGCCCCCAAAGCGCGGCGCCACGGGGCCCCTTCAA